ATAAAAAGTAGTCAGAACAGGTGTAATAAGTCCAAACCCTTCTGTGTGCCAACCCACTAAAAACTGGTCCAGACAAGTGCTAAAACTGGCCTGAACCGGTCTAAAAATTGGTATAAACTGGTATGAAAACTTGTTCAAACTGGGACTAACTGGTATAAAAACTGGTTTAAACCAGTATAGAAACTGGTACTAATACAAAAACTGCTGCTAACTGGTATAAGAACTGGTCCAGACAGGTATACAAAGTGTTTCAAACCAGTATAAACACTGGTATTAGCTGGCATTCAAACTGGTTATAACTGTTTCAAACTGGTTATAACTGACATAAAAACGTGTGCGTACCTGTATGAACACTGGCACTAATACAAAAACTGGCTCTAACTGGTACAGAAACTGGTCCAAACTGGTATAAAAGCTGGTTTGAACCAGTAAAACAATGGTACTAACCAGAATAAAACTGGTCCACAGCGAGCTGAAGGAGTCAGAAACCATGAAACCTCGTTAATAAACGTTCTGCCAGTGAAGCTTCAGCTCTGATCCTGATAACATCCTAGAATATGTAGAATATACCCTATAGTGTGTAATATACTCTATAGTATCTATAATACTCTATAATATGTATGACATCCTATAGTGTGTAATATACCCTATACTATGTATAACATCCTATAATATTTAATATACTCTATAGTATGTATACCACCCTATAGTATCTATAATACCCTATGGCATATATAATATCCTATAATATGTATAATGTCCTATCGTGTGTAATATACTCTATAGTATGTATAATATCCTATATTATGTATACCACCCTATAGTGTGTATAATGTATATAATATATATGTATAATGTGTAATACACCCTATATCATGTCCACCAGGGTCCAGGCCTGGTGCTGCTGCTCAGGGTGACTTTCCTCTCAGATGAATCCACACTTGGCCTGAACGTGGCCGCGGAGCCTCTTGATAAAGTCGGATGTGGATTTGTTGTCGGCGGCAGCAGCCTGGAGATGACAGGAAGTCGATGGCGTGACGGCGGCGATGCAAAGCAGCCGCCTGAAGCCTCCTGACGGGAATCATCTCCGTCCGATTATCACTTTGAGCTTTTAGAAGAGCGGCCAGAGGACAGGAAGCTGCTCAGGATCAGCGCCTGCAGGTAAAACTCTGGGAGCCAAAGACCACCAGAACCTTGTGACGCCGTGAACTGGACCGGGACACCAAGACCGACTGGAGACGCTCAGAGCAATAGAACCTCTGACTAAACGCAATGAATAAACTTTAATTAAAACCGGTTCCACCTCCGACCTGAAGCTGGTTTTAAAACGTCTTCATGTTTCATTGTGTTTTATTTTGTTCTGTTAAACAGGATTCAGTCTAAACTCCATGAACAGGTCGATGTGAAACGAGTTTCTGAAGTCAGTTTTCTTTTCTAACTGCGATAAAACACCATTTAAAACAGATTTTATTTGCTGATGGATGTTCATGAAATCATAGTAAATTATTTACTGTCTCTCTTAAATAAGGAAAATCCTGCAGAGATCATATGAGTTATAATAATAAACACAATAACCTCAATAAATAATGAACAACCTGAACTGTCAGAAACACATCCCACTGATTCTGAATCATTCAACCTGAATTTATTGATTATTTATTAGTTTTCATGATTCAAACTGAGTTCAAGAACTGAATCCTGTAACTGAATCACACATTAAACTTCTAGTTATGATGTTCAAATTTATATTTTTATTAAATTCACTCGAGTTGAGAAATTAAATGTTAATTAGTGAGATTTACATTATAGATTTATTTTAATTAAAATTACTTGTTGAGAAATTCAAGTTGAAATTATGAGATTTAAATGATTTTTAAAAATAAATGACTTATTAAAATTGAACTTGAATTAAGAAATTCAAGTTCAAATTACTAGATTTTATTTCAAGTTTTCATTACAGTTATTTAACTTAACAAATTCACGTCCAATGTCTAAGAATTAGAAAAATTACAATTATTCAAGTTGTGAAATTCAAATTATAAGATTTAAATTACTTTTTTTTTTTTTTTTTTAAACTACTCAAGTTTAGAAATTCAACTTCAGTTTATGAGATTTCAGTTCAGATTTTTATTACAATTATTCAAGTTGAGTGTTTTAAATAAAGACGATTCCAGTTTGGTTTCTAGCGTCTCGTATTTGGTTTCATGTCTAATACGTGACCTCTGAGCAGCCGAACACCAAACCAGTGTTAATAAGTGCAGCCAGTGGATGAACACATTCCTTTATTAAAGTACTGAAACGTCTGCTGCAGGAATGTCACATCGAAACCAAAAAAAGAAGAAGAAACGGTTTAAAAAAATCTCCTCGGATAAAGCGTTTCATCGTCTGTGAAATAAAACGTCAGATCAAACATTGCACATCATTCGGCTGCAAAACAAACTAAAATACAAAAAGGTGGCGATCGACGTGATTAAGACTCGGCGTGGACGAGGGCGGGAAGAAAACGACGTGACAATCAGAAACAATCAAAGGAGAGATGAAAAAACACCGATTCTGGATTTTATTCTGATCATGAAACGAAAAGTTAAACCAACGCGAAGAGAAACAGCCGAAGAAGAATTCATCACAGTCTGAGGCTGATCTCCGGACGGACGGACGGACGGACGGACGCTCACCTGACAGACGCTCACCTGAGCCTCGCTTCAAGTGAACCCGACGGCGGCTTGGTAGCGTCGTGAGCTAACGACGCTAACGAGCCGCTTCGTCTCTTCTTTAAAAACGTCACATCACAGTTTCCTCTCTGAGGTGAAGTAGAGCTTCAGGAAGAAAAGCGTCCTGGTTCTGTTCACGCTGCAGCCGACTAGAAACGACCCGGTTCGAGTCGTTAGGAACCGGTGGAATAATGACGTAGAACTTTGGTATTGTCTCATGAGCTGGTCTCAAGCTGTTGGATGTGTTTTGCTTCGATGGCGCCGACGTTTGTTGGACAGAATCCTCCGTTTATTTACGTCCAGGTCAGTGGTTTAGATGTAATTAAACAGAAATCTAACAAACCGAATCTCCAGATACGACCGTCGAGCATCGAGGGACCTGAAACGACGGATGTAGCTTAGCTTATACCTTCATTCTCTGTCATGGCGCTCCTTCACAGACTTTACAAACATGGAAGGGTCCGCCTCCGGTGGTCGGTTTTAAAAGCTAAGAAGCTGGTGGAACAACCAGGTACCTGAAGTGTTACTGTTTAGGGTGATGGTATCGGCTATGGGCGGAGACTAAATATTCAAAGACTTCCATCCCTAGTGGCCAACAGGTGGACTTTAACCTGAACCGTGATCCTTTTTTAGACCAAAACAAGACGTGTTGGTTCTGAAATGGAACCAAAGTCAAATCGTGGACTTACGCCCAAACGTCATTGGCTAAAGGTCTGCTAACTTTACGCCACCACCGGCCGCTACAATCTCCGAATGTGGACTAAAATGAAATAGTAACGAAGCTTCTTCAATAGTTTGACGCCTACTGAGCTGCTAGAAGCTGGAGGAGGCGTCTGCTGGTCCGTTGGTTGGTCAACACCTACGAGACTCTTAGGAACCTTTAGAACCAAGACAGGAAGACCCAACTGGTGACGCTTGGACCAACTGGTTTCCATGTTTGAGCCTTTAGGGGAAGAAACGAAGCTGCTACGGGTAAAAAGCTGAACTCAGTACACGACCACTGTTGGATTTATGGACTAACTCCAGCAGCTGATGTTTCCAAACCGTGAATTTTACTTTCAGGCTTATGCAGTAACTTATTAAAACCGTTAAAGGACGTCGTTTGTCATCTGGATGAACCGGCGGATCAATCGTCCTTTTCTACTGCTGGAACATCCAGACGTGATCCAAACCGCCGCCGACCAGACAAACGGATGTTCTACGTCTAAAGATGGTTCCTCTGGGTTTCTACATTTTCATGCAGCTTCCGTGAACCGAACCAGGAAGTGAGATTCTTCCGCCTCAGAGAGGGGAAACAGAAACAGAAAAACGTTGCCTTCACTTGCGATCATACAGCAACAAAAACAAAAACAGGAAAGGGCACGACAGGAAGTGATGTCACTGGACAGGTGACAGGAAGAGCAAGACACGTAAAGCGAAGGATGCGGTCGGTCGGTCGTCCTTCGACTCCGGATCGGTTTCACATCTCACAGAAACGCTCCGACTCAGTGGTTCGTTTTCAGGCTTTTAGCGGCTCCCGATTTGTTGAAACTACCCGAAGCGAGTCGAAGTGGATAAAACTCTCACGAAGTGGGTCGGTGATCTGTGTGGCGTTCGAGGTCCTGTTTGTTTTCACATTCATGTTTCGAGCAAAAAAAAAACAAAGAAAATAAAAAACGCTCGAAAAAGTAAACTGTTTGGAGAAAAGAACTACAACTCCCAGAAGACACTGCAGCAGCGCGAAGCGTCCAATCACGGAGCTTTTAGATTCTGTTGCCGGGTAAAGTTACAGGTGCGTCGGGCTCGATGGATAATTCAATAAAGTCACTTTTTCTTTTTTCCCTTCAGTTCTGTCTTTCTTTGCTGCCGCTGCTGCTCATGGGAAATGTAGTTTTTAGGGACCCGGTATGGAAGCTCATTCACGCCACGAAAACAAGAAAAAAAATTTATTTGTTTGGAGTCAAAACCGGTAAAATATGGATGTGGAGGTTCATTAATGACTTTATACGCAAAATAAAAAGGTTTCATTTGTTGTTTAAAATGTAATGGTGCTCTCAATCAATTAATATTATTAAGTGCTCGATCATTGTTTTTGTTTTGTTTTGTTTTTCAGGTCAAATGTCTTTTTGTGTCCAATCAGTTTATATCGATATTTAATTTGGTAATATGAATAAATAAAATATTAATTTGTGTTGGTGGCTTTGCTCCAAAAATCAGAATTAATCAGAATACAACACAGATTAAATGGTTATTAATTTAATGTAAATGCCAAAATATTCTCAATTTACGGACAATTTTTTGGCGTTTTAGTTTTTTGGGGGGATTTCTGATGATCAATCAGCTTTTTCTTTTCTTTTTTTTTTAAACCTTCTAATTACTTAACTTCTTCCAGTCAGTTTTATTTGCAAAAGAAAGCAGTGGAGAATATTTAATCAATATTATTACGCTTCATTCTTTACTTATTTTGCAGAAAATGACTGAAAGCAGTGATTAGGAGGAACAGGTCTTAGAAAAGTTGTTTTTATGGTGAAAATTTGTGATAAAAATGTCAATAAAGCAGGTCACTTTGATTTTAAAACTTTCTTACAACTTTTGATTTCATTCTAATTTTTTTATCGTTATTTTTTATCGTTCCAAACTTTTTATCGGTTCTGATCTTATTTTTGTGGTCGCAATGAGCTTCCGTACAAACGCTGTTTCTTTATGTTGGCGCGTCGACGTTTTTGTGGAGCAACGATGAGATCATCGTTCAAAAAGAAAAACCTCAGAAACAAGAGGACAGCGAGCGACTCCTGCGTTTCCTCTTCGCGTCCGTCGATGGAACAAATAAATAAAAGTCGTGAAAACCGTCGGACGCCGTTTGCGTGGAGAAGAAAACGAAGCCGTCGCCGGAGCTGTAAACTCGTGCTGCGTTCACAGTCCTGGAAATAAAACCCAGCGCAGGTTTCAGATTTAAAAAAAAAAGAAAATCCACATGAGAATTTTGTTGATTTCTTTGAAGGAAGCAAAGTTTTGCAAAAATTAAAGACGATGAATTTTGTTGTTTTGTTTTTGTTTACTGCAGAAAAGTCACTTGATTCGCTGCCTCACTTCTTTTTTCTCGACTCGGTGATTAAACGGGAGCAGCGGGGAGAGCTGGGAGGACAGGTGCATCGTGGGTAGTGTAGTTGGACCGGAGCCAGGCGGTGGTCTATGAGATGGCCTTGGCCTCGGGCAGGAAGGCCTCCCAGTACTTTATCAGCTGCAGGAGACAAAGACAAGAACATTGTTCACCTTCTATCAAGCTGCTGTTTCTGCTTCAGTTTGCATTTAAACGAGTTCTAAAGAAATCCTATAGTTCAGACTGAGCCTATGGAAGACTGTGAGTGCCAGAATTAAAATGAAGTCCAGATTCAAGATTCCAGATTTTCAAGCAACAGTTTTTAGATTTAAAATGTATCACTGACCAACAGGTTGATCTGTTTTATTTACATATTTTTTCTTGTTTTAATGCTCAATGATAATAATATTAATCATTCTTTTTACCTGCTGTTGTGTCAGAACCAGCGACTCCAAGTATTTGATGATGATGGTTTTGAAGTCCTTCACTCGCTCCTTCTGTTGACCAATTAAAGAGCAAACACGCATTAAAGTGACACGAAAACCTTCAAAACAAACCAGAAGAACGTTTCCTCCTCCTCCGGTTAACTCCGTCCGCTCTCACCTCGAACCGGCTGACTTCTTTGCGGATGGTTTTGGAGATTTGCTCAAAGTCTCGTTCGCCTTGTTGGACTTTTCCCTCCAACTGAAACACACACAACAGAAAAATGAAACAGAACAAATCTGTGTTCAGTCGCTTTAGTTGTTCTGATGCATAAATTAAAAGATTAAAAGTCCTGAACGTTGCAGACGACGGACTTTAAAGTGTCAAACAAACAAAAACACAATAAAAAACGGACTTTCAGGGCTGATATCGATACCTGGGGGTTTAAAGAAGACAATAAAAGACGTAAACAGTCTTGACATGGATCTTATTTGCCACCTTTGACCAGGACGGAGATTTTACAGCAAAAAAAAAAATATATTCAACTAATTTTCTAACAAAAACTACATTCTAAAGGCAGCGACAGAACTTGGTCAAGGTTTGGGGAAAGATTATGTTTTGTTTTAATTCATAAAAAGTCTGCAGTGACTTTAAACATGTTTATGAAGATCTAAAAATAATAACAATACAATTATTTACATTTAATTCTGGCACCCACAGGCTTCCACACCGGCTATGGAAGCATGTATGGAAGCCTGTGGGTGCCAGAATTAAATTTAATCTGAACATTTGAAACCGTGTCCAACCTTCACTCTTTTATTTTCAGTTTGAAAATGTATCATTGCTGCAGTTTACTATTAAAATTGTTCACATTAACAAATAATTTCACTCCTAAACATAATTCGAGCACCATTTATATATTTACATTTTTCTATTAAATTTGAATTCAGAAAGTCTGAAATGTAGAAAAATGTCAACATCCGTCATCAGGAAATGGAAATTTGACATGAAGCAAACAGTTCATATCATGCTAGAAAAAGAACATTAATTGCAACGTAAAACCTACAAACCAGCTCCTGTAGTTCTTAAATGTGGAGCTTCGTTCATTAAAAAACAAAACGCTGACCATCAGCCAACCAAACGTAAAACCATTTAGTTTTACGTAAACTTTATTTCTAGGAGACCAGGAGGCTGCAAAATGCACTCTGTGATGGTTTCTGGTGGATAAACTTTGTGAATTAGATGCTGTTTCTGAATTATTTTGGGATTTGTAAGAACTAAAGCTGATAAATCTGCTGTAAACTCATATTTTCCACGACATCTGCTGCTGATTTAAAGAAGAAAATGTGTTCCTGAAGGAGCTCGTTCAGCTAAAGAGGTTGAATTTAACGGGGAAAAGCAAAATCAGGTGTAAAGGTGTAAAAAAAAAAAAAAGTCACATTTAGACTGTAGTTCTACCTGCTGTAACTGAGGTTGTGTGTTTTATATTGGAGCAGCGTCTAAGTGCCTGTAGTCTACATGAAGGTTATTTATTAATGATTAATACTTCAAGTTATTGGTGTTTTCTTCAATAACACAGCAAACAGCAGGTTAAATGAGTCTTTAGAGGCTGAAGTAATGATTTAAGAAGCTTCTACATGAAGTTATGGTGGATGGAAACAAATAAAAGACCGTCAGCCGTTCTGATCAGTGATTCCCAACATGGTGGACGTTCAGACGTCACAGGCTG